ATATATGTTGCAACTAATTTTAGCTTATGTTGCAACATTTTGTAAATTTGAAATCAATTGCTGTACCATCTTTAGGGTCGACTGTATATGTTTTTTTTTTAATAATAAATAACTTTATAGCTTATTTATAAAAAATAAAAAATTTTTTAAATTAATAAAAATTTTTTTTAATTTAATTATAAAAATCATATTGTTTTTTGATATACAGTTTAAAAGACTTTTATTTTAAAATTATATTAAGAAAAGAACCTAAATATCCTAAAGGCCAATCATTTATTTGATTATTTCTTTTCCAAGCATTTTAAAATGGTGATGATGATGTCACTAAGGTGAAAATCAGCACGTCTAAAATGTGTGCCATTTTAAGTGGTCAGCCTGACCATGATTTTATGGTTAGCTGACCACCCCAGTGACAAATAGGTTTCATACCATGTGAAAAAAACTAAGTCCAAAAAATAAATAGAAATTATGCTTCACTGCCTGGTGTGACGGGTATGAAAAATAGCGCAGATCTTACCTATATAAGTTAACCTGTCACACATTTTATATTTGCTGAAAATCATGACGATCAAATCGTTGGCCATTCTCGTTTTCTCTTGGAAAAATATAAAAGAATCTTTATTGCTTATTTATCTCCTTTAATCTAAAATTTTTTTAACTTGTTATATTCGGAGGTCACGTTGCAACTATATACCTCGATATAAAAACTCTTTATCAAATAGTCAAAATAGTCACCAATAATATTTTGCAAGGGAGTCGTACCTGAGATTAGCTAGCCAAACGACAATACTCATCTTTAAATTGCACGTGCACAAGCTTTTGTTACGCTACGTAATGGCATCATTTCTCCTTTTCCCTAGAAAATTTTTTATTATTTATTATGTCATTTGTGGCCTATACTCCTTGGCAAATTCAGCCATTTTATAAATATCAAGATAAGAGGCTTGTGATTTTTTGTGGCTTAGAATTTCAAAGAAAAAACATAACGCAAAAACAAAGACGTTTTCAAAAAAAAAAGTATCTTTTATTTGATACTAAATATTATTACATAATTGAAAGATCATTAACAATTTTCGTGTGTGTGGCTTACAAGGAACACAAACAATTTAGGTTTAGATTTCTCCTTTTTAGTGTTTGATGATAATTTGATTACCCAAAAATGAGGGTTTTCATCCCCAATTTAGGAATAAATAATGTAAAACATTCCTTTTTTTATGTTAATATTGTTAATATTTCATTTATTACGCGTAATAGGTGTTGATTGAAACCTCCTGTATATATATAATGTAGTTCCGAAACTTTTTTTTGATCACTTATTCAATTTGATAATCGCCTTGTTTGCTCAAGAAGTAAAAAGCTTATCGCTGGAATAGTTCGTCAATAATCCACAAACAAATAAATCACATTTGATCTATATATTCTCTTTTTTTCTCTTTCGAATTGGATAGATAATTTATATTTGGCAGGTCCATATTATCCAAAGTATAAGACTCTTTAGCTAAAGAAAAATTAAGTAGAGAATTGCGGGACAATTCAAATTATATACTACTTTTTTCTTTTTCTTTATTAAAATAGTCATACTGACGAACTACAGCGGTTCGCCTTCCATGACAGTCTTCATAAGTTCAACATTTCACAAAACACAAGTAAATAACGAGCTTTCCCTTAAATAAAATGTTAGGACGTGTGGTGATTTCTATTATCGGAGCCGGCTTTGCGGTAAATATTGAAGTTGTCTTTAAAAGGAGTGGTTCTTTTATATTAATATTTCTTACTACCATTTTACAGGTTTATTGTGTCGTTACTGCATTTTTGACATATTTTGAAAAAAATCGTAACTATTAAACTCTCTAATATTTTATTTATTTTAAATTTACATAACTTTCTTTCTAAATTATTTACTATTTCTTTTGATACATTCATATAGCTGCAACTTTGCATTTGACAAACTTTTATCTAGTTGGATATGCAGCTATAAATGCAGTTTTTACACCTTTTGGTATATCAGGGGTTGTCGGGGGATTAAGTGTAAGTAGCATTTAAACTCCCTTTTTTATTATTATTTTTTATATATTAATACTTATATTTTTTATAAAATTTTTGTTTTCAATTAGCGTAAGAAATCTTTAATAAAAGCTTTCACCCGATTTCAATGGTGGTTGGCTACTTTCATTCTTACCGGTTTAAATGTATTTAATGTTATACTTTCTAGAAATGAAAATAATAAAAAAGGCTTCATTGGCAGATGTCAAAGTAATTTCGCGAAAGGTCAACCTGAAACCGACTTTTTGGCTCGATGCAAAATTAAAGTTGAAGATGCTGAACAAGCTACATTTATTGCTGCATGTTCTCAGGGTGGTATCATGGTAAGTTGAATTGTATGTTATTTCGCGTCTTTTTTTAAATTATTTTGAATTAACATTCATTTAATCACTCTATTATAAGCTCTTTCTTGGTGTGATACTATTAATAGTTGGCACGCGTGAATATAATTCTATAAGTTTAGAAGAGGAAACTAGAAATCTTCTCGAAAAAGCTAATTTCAACGAGAACGATGAGATAGAAGGAGGTATAGGAGGTGGACGGTCTTCTTCTAATTTACAACGAAATATTAGCGATGCTAGTAATGGTGGCAATGTTGATGGTGTTAAGAACATTAATTGTGGGCCTAATAATAATAATAATAATAATAATGCTGGTACTTCCATCACGGATCAATATGATATAGGAAGATATCCTTCTAATAATGTAAAAAATATTAGACGTCAGCCTTCTAATATAGCTCAAACTGCTGCAATTACAAATAATATGAACGCTATACAACAATCAGGCCTAAGAAGACATCCGACAGAACCTAGCTCAATGCCTTCTTCTCGTGTAGGAAGGAATCAAGCAGAATCAAGTTTCATGTCTCCATCATATACAAGTTTAGCTAGAAATACAACAAATCCTGGGAGTCTTCCATCAAACAGATATAATGGTATTACGCGTTATCCAACTAATCCATCTAATGGTACTAATATTTCTGCAAATAGAGTAAAAGTAACGCGTCAACCAACGATCGGTAATGCATATGTTTCAATGAATTATGCTGGAGCTCCACAGACAACATATCCTATAGTTCCACAACATTCCCTCTCAACGAAACGTTACGTGAGTCCGCCACCCCCATATGTAGTTCATCCTTCACAACAAATTATCGTTCCGATAACTAAAGATTATCATGATGACCCTTATAGTTTTCAAACAGACCCACGTTACCACATTTAACAAGGTTGGGATTGTATTAATGGTAAAATAACAATATAATATATAAATTTATTAGAAATTGAATTAATTATTACATGCTCCTAAATTTGTTATATAATCCTGTAAATATATTTTATCATTTTATTGTTGTAATGATTATGATGTAAACATTCTTTTAACCTTTATTTATAACAAATTCGTAACAATAAATAAATGATTAAAAAATTTATTTCGTTAATTTAACATCCACCATTTTTAACAGAATTATTATTTTTCTTTGACTTTCTATAAAATCTTTGGTCTTCAGGATTAAAACCAGCCTCAGGAGAACCAAATAAAGCCCAATCAGGAGTAGGTGCAACGTAATCTAAACTAGTGAAATGTTCTCCTGATTCTAGTAATTCAAAAAATTTATCATAATCAATCCAAGTATGCCATTGATTATTAATTTTAAATTTTGAATTTGCTATAAGTATTGAACATGAGTGTGAATGTTCTGCTGCTACTTCATAAGTTTCTCCTAAATTTTTATTAAGCTGATCTACAAAGGAGATTACTTCACTATGATACGGAACCTATTTTTTTTTTTAAAAAAAAAAGAACTAAAGTTAATAAGGGGGAATAATTAAAAATCGTAAAAAATTTGAACTTACATTAGCCATTGTCAATTTACTCGCTCCACCATATCCACAATAAGTAACTCCTTTAACTTCAATAAAATCAGGTTTACCACGTCCTACCAGTTCAACGTAATTAGCAATCTCTTCAGTATTATAATCTTTAACCAACGTTAACCTATAAACTAGAATTTAAATCAAATGATGATGCATTATTAAGTTAATTACCAATGATGAATATTTATGATGTAACGCGTTAAATTCAATACCAGTTCGCTGTCCTTTTTGACTTAATATATCTAAACACTCTAAAAATCTTTCCCAAAAATCTTTAAATAAAGGTCTATCGATTTTTTTTAAACTTTCTTTTGTACTAGCATCAACACTAACATAAAGTTGTGTTACTTTATCTAACGCCCTTAAACGTGAAGGATGTTGCGCGTTGCAAACCAAAAATGACTAAAGAAATATATTAGTTACATTTAAATAAAAAAGAAATGGTGTAAAAAAAATAACTTTACCGAAATATGCTTGTCATGCAGAAGTTTAACAAATTCATTGATATGTGGATACTAATTAAAAAAAAATTGTAAATATTTTAATGTAAAATATAAAATGCAATGTTTGGAGTAAATAAGGCTTACTAATATGGGTTCCCCAACTAATGATAAAGCACAATGACGGACATTGAATGCTTCTTGAAACCTATCTGCTCTAATGCCTGGTACACCTTTCATTTGTTTAATCATTTTATAATGGTTATCGAGACATTCAGAAAAAATCATCTCTGGTGGATCAACTTTCCATATAAACTCCTTGCCTTATAATTAATTATTTAAAGTAAGGAAATTTAATATTAGTTTGCCCTTTTTTTTAAAAAAAAAATATTGGATACTTACCAACGGGGTTGGTATGATGTCTCCAACTATAGATATAAAAATATGATTTAATTAATGTAACTGATATGTTACAAGCAAGGTAGGTAAATTTAATTTACCAGAAAACACATTTGTTTGAACAGGCCAGACTTGGTGTTGTTTCAAGACACCTATGACTAAATTAATTTTGAAAATATTAAAAAAAAAATAAATAAAATTAGTAACGAGTACATGTAAAAATTTTTTTAAAAAAATTTTTTTTTTTTGATTTCTAACCTTTGTATACCATAAAAGCAAAATTTATAGCAGGATCCTCTACCTCTTAAGGCTGTATAAAATTTTGATAATTTCAAATATTAAAAAAAAAAGTTAATACAGTATATGTTGAATTAAATTTAAATTAAATTATATTATTTCAACCGAACGGTATTTAACCCAAAATGAAATCCATCCGATTGAGCTGGACATTTTATTGCATATATTTCGATGACTTCGCACATCCATCAATAACTCCAAAGGAAAAAATACTCCATCACAACATACCTGACTTAGTCCAACGACATATTTTAACTCCCTATTATTGAAAGAAACAAATTAATATCTATCATATATAGATTGAATTGCTTGAATTATTAACTTACTGAATGTGATCCAACTACTTTATATCCTTGTTTAGTCAAAGATTTACGGAGCATCGGAGTAACCATTTCCTTAGGTTCTTTTATAGGAGTCTCTTGTTCAATTAAAGACCTTTTCGGTTGTCCATTGCGATTTTTATTTACAAATTCTTCTTCTTCCTTTGATTTACGCGCGGATTGCAATTTAGGAGCTAATACGCCCATATCCTCAACATCTACCATTTCTGTATCAAAACCATTATTATTATCATTATTATTCTCGTCTGAATCTTGTTCTTTTTCGTCATTATCATCATAATCGGATTCACTAAATGAATCATATATCTGGTTGTTTAAATCAATATTTGTTGCAGATGAAGGATCAAACAAAACATTGACAAGAGATAATTGCCAAGATTCAAAACTTTTTTCTTGATCTGTTAATTCAAAATTTTATTACATTAAATCGTTAAATGAAATTGAAAATTTTCGATATTTCATACCTGAACCTTTATCACCTTCGCCTAATGGGTATAATCGTTTCGCTCCTAATTGACCTAACCATTTGTCGATATTTCTGGGTTGTGTGCAAAATTGTTCACCATAGGCAGAATCACCAAGTCCAAACACTGCAAACCTCATCTTAGATAAAGCTTGTTTATCTACCCTAAAATCATATCTTGTATCCTCCAACCACTTATAAAACCAATCAAGAGGCCCCTCAACATTATATGTAGATATGATAAATATACAAATTGCTGATTCCGATAAGAAATCTTCAGTTTCGTAATTGATGATATCCATCATTGAACATTCACAACGATCCAGGAATGATTCATAAAGTTGTTGAGCAAAGTATTTTGCTGTTCTAGTTTGCGTACCATAAAATATTTTAATTAATTCTCTTGTTAATTCCTTTGTTATGGTACAGGGTGATTCTTCCGAAAGTTCATTTTTGCAACACGCCTCCCCATTCCCACTGCAACATGCCGCTTGTTCACCTGAACCATTACAAGCTTGACCTGAAGTCTTTTTAACTAAACGAGACTTGATCCTTTTAGGAGAACTTTTTACGGGTTTTTTTTCTTTAACAGTCGGTAACCCTTGAACTACCTTTTTGTCAATATATTCTGCTTCGATAGTCTGTTCCAAACCGTTACTCTTGTTTGCCAGTCGCGTTTTTTTGTGCTTCGATATATAAAGTACAACGACACCAGCTAACATAAAACAGCAAAACAAAACTTGATAATCTGACCATAAGCTCAAAAAATAACCGAGTAACATTTTCTGAAAAATAATATATTACAATAATAGTAAAGTAATTTTCTGAAAAATAATATACCTATTAGTTAAGTAATGGGTGATCATTATTTACCACGTGGTTATTGAATATAATATTAACCGTTATTTCTCGACTAAAAATAACTCTTTTCTAATAAATAAATTACGTTCTTTAATTTTGTGTACTTATAGATGTCAACTCAATTTTTCCAAAATTACAATCAAAATCATCAAAATGCACCTAGAAGTCCCGGAACAACTTTTCATGCACCTCTAACTCATTCCATTCCTAGACTTAAGCCACACATTGCAGCTTCTTGCTGTTCTTGTTGTGGTATTACGTTTCTTCGCATGTTCCGTCAAAAATACAATTGCTATAATTGTGGTATATTAATTAATTTCTTTTTTTGATTTTTTTATGTTGAATTAAAAATTAATCATCTTTTTGATGTATAGGTAATGTAACTTGTGGACGATGTTCTGATAATAGAGCTGAGTTACCAAAATTTAGTTATTTTGAGTAAGTTGATGAATCTATACTTTAAACGTAATTATTTATATAATTGACATTTTTTTTAAAAAAAAATGTTCAGGTCTGTGCGAATTTGTAACTTGTGTTATGGTTATTTGAAAAGTAAGCTAAAGATTTGTTACGCGTTTTATTTAGAGGTGATTTTTTTTTTCCAAAAGAAAATATTAATTTCTTTGATATTTGTGTAGTAATGGAAATGAATCGATCACAACTTATCAGATCACCAACCAAAATATTGCGAGAATATATTTCAGCATATAATCTTCCTTGTCATAATATTATTGAAAAAGACGATTTAATTAATATCATTATGGCGCACAGACCATTGGAAGAACGTTATGAAGTTTATTATCGAGATCATTATCCAATTGCTCAAACATCTCATGAAACTGGTATGTTATTTTGAGGAAATAATTTTATAGAAACCGATTATTACAACAAATTTTAATTTAATAGCATCTGATATACCACCAAGTGCCAATTATAATCGTACCGGAACTCAATACAACGCTAGTTATTCACGATCTTATTATCAAAATGCTTCATCTCCACCTCCACCTCCACCTACACCTACACCTACACCTCGATCTCATCCTCCACCTCCTCCTACACCTTCTTCACCCTCACCTCTACCTCAACAACAACCATCATCACAACGACGTCAACAAAATTATCAGTCACAAAAACAAACTTTTCATCCTTCTTCCCATAAAGCTGCAATCTCACTTAAAACTATTATTAGAGAAAAAGTGGATATATCTAAATTAACTGTTAAAACTATCAAAGAGATCCTTAGAGAGAATTGTATTGATTACTCCAAAATGGTTGAAAAATCCGAGTTAATTGAACGTATGGAAAGTTTAATTAAATGGGAAAAGCACGAAATGTCGCGTAATGCAAATGAACTTTCTGATGATGGGTTATGCAGAATTTGTTGTGATGCACAATCTAACTGCTTACTTATGGACTGTGGTAAAGTTAATCTATTTATATTGGTATATTGAAGAAGTTATACGTTCGATTACAATTTATTTATCTATCTCATTTTTATTTATATAGGACACATGTGTACTTGTTTGGATTGTGGAAAAAAATT